ACTGGCAACGAAGGTGGGAAATCAAATGTGGAAATATGTAAATTCTATAAGCCTTTATCAACAGTGTTATTAAGAGTCTCCTCTGGCCAAGAGAAGCCTAGTAGATATGAACCAAGAGCCTCCATGTGAGATACAGGAAAGAATTACAAGCATTGACTGGAGTTTGGTGATGACGCACTCATATGACACCATTCATTTTAGAGACAGAAGTGAAAGGTTACGCTCAAGCAAGGGTTCTTCTACCTCCAAATTATGTTGGAAATGATGTGAATCAGAACCATTATCCCTTTGTACTCCCATCTCCATAACTTAGATATTTACACATTAAATTTTCTGAGAATCTCCATAGTAAATAATTTATTTGACTGAGTTTCCAAATGTTCTTAAGCTCAGCATTATCAAACAATTCATCTCCATTACACTCTCCAAAATGGAGACATACAGAACATAGTAACAACCCAAGGAGTAGTATTTTCTTTAGTACTGATTTGGGATACAGACTCTCTGCTTTTTAATGCCAATGATTTTATAATATGAAGAAATTCCAAACATAATTATAGTGTTAGGCATTAAAATGAATTATAAGAGAACACTCCAGTGTGTCTGTGGGATCTCCTTCCATTCTCTGTACAACCCTGCTTAGGAGGTTGTTTGCTTACCACACTGATGGCCTTTGCCGGGAGGAATAAGGTCATTTTCTAAGTGATAGGACACATGTGAAAACATGCAGCACCACCTCATCTGTAGTTGCAGGACAAATCCATTAAAGCACCAAACCAAAGTATAAACAAATTCTTGCATAGCCTTTAGAAACTTCTAGAGACTGTTTTTGTTTCTACAGGCTACAAATAAAATATGTCTAGGTTCCTGTATTTCAAGCAGAATTTCATGGGAATGATTTAGTTTTCTGTGTGGTAGATGTCTTCTAAAAAAGTTCAAACATATTTTCCAAAATAATAAAAAAAAAATATTAAAACTTCACAGATGTTGCTGTACCAGAGGAGTTAGAGCTGTGTTCTGAGTTATCCTCACTTAAGTGTTCCATTAAAGATGTGTGGAAGCTCTTGTAGTTCAGGTACATAGTGAAAGGTAAAAGGGACACTCTGAAATAAGACTGGAATTGGGTCTCACCACGGACCTGAGAGTCTCAGGGTCTCTTGTTCCCACTGTGTGCCAGGCTAACTGGTCTGCAAACTTCTGGACATGCTTCTGTCTCTGTCTCCCACATCTCTGTAGGCACCCTTGGACTACAGACACATACTTCCACATCTGGATATACATATGTTCTGGGGATCTCCACTCAGGTCAGGACACTTACATAGCAAGCTCTTCACCCACATAGCCATCAGGGTTAGACGTATTTTTTTAAAAAAATTAAGGGTCCGGTTGTTAAAACTACAAGGGAGAAAGTTACTATTAATCCATTTGTTTTTAGTGAAATGAGCTTCATTTTATTTGTTTTCTAATTATAGAAGGGGTAAATGGGCATTCCAAAATAATCAGAAAATAGAGGCAGCAAGGATGGAGCTGAGTAGCTCACAGTCTCTTCAGCAAGAAGATGAGCAGCACTCTCCCTGTAGTAGATCTGTATCCTCTTTGCTCTCCTTCATCTGCATTTGCTTTACAAAACTAGGCTCACAGCATGAATGATACAACCTATTCTTAAATACAAATAACGTGTAAATTTTTCACCGTAATAGATTATTCAACAGAATTTGACATTCCACTCTGTAAATTTTTTTTAACATTTCTTTAACCAACCCTCCATTGGAATCTGTGTCTTCTTATATTTTTTGGAAAAAGCATTGTGTTTATGTTAATATAATATGTAGTGTAATTTTTAAAAATTGGTTATTTTCTTAGGGAGGGTCCCAAAAATAAAATTACTAGAACATCAGAGAAATAAACCTGTTAGTCTTGTGTCTTCTTTGTCAGGATTCTTTCAAAGACTCTTAACTATTTTGAATTCAGGAGTAGTATATGCTTCGTGCTTTTCATAATCTTCTCATTTTGGTTACAGCCAAATCATTTTAATAGACAGATATTATCTCATTATTTAAACTTTTTCTGTTTGACTATTAAAGAGCTCATTTGTATGTATGCATACGTGTGAATGCATGTGTGCATGCATGTGTGTACTCTGGAAGTGTCTCCATGTGTTATCCAGGCTGACTTTGATCTTCCTGAGTCACTTTCCCCATATTTCAGGTATGTCACGATTTGCTTTCTCAGATACTGTTTGGAATTTGGTCATTTATCTTTACCTCTTCCTAACTTCAGCTCTTTTCGGTAAGCCATATTTGTTTCCTATTGCTTTAGTGCTCCTAATATCCTAAATGTTAATCTTGTTTATTCAACTTGCCATCTAAATTTTAATTTCTGTAAATGATGCAGAAGTTATGAAATTTAATCATGTTTAAAGTTTTCATGTCTTAAGCATAGTACTAAACCATATATAGATATAGACAAATGATTCATATGTGTGTTATATTATTTACCTTTACACATTGCATAGATCAGAAAATTCAGCTCTAGATAAATTAGATTATTTGCTCTTAAACTAAGTAATTTTCTGGTTCTATGTTTTAGGATAGACTCATCCTATTCCAAGAACTGTATTTTTAGCTACTGTTATGTGTAGATGGATTTGGGGCGATGCCAGCTCACAAAAAAATGACACAGAGACTTATTAATTATGAAAGCTCTTACCTTGACCCTCTACTGCCCATCCTGCTTTTTCTGCGCCTGCCTTCCTTCCTGTCTCTCAGCTCCCAAGTAACCACACGGAGATCTCTTATTAATTATAAAAGCTTGGCCTTAGCTTAGGCTTGTTCCTAACTAGTTCTTATAACTTAAATGAACCCGCATTTTTTAATCTGTGTTCTTTTACATGACTCAGTTAACTTTACTCTGTACTGTCCAATGTGTTTTTTCTGCACCTGGCTGGCAACTCCCCCTTTCTTTCTTCCACCACGCTGTCTGTCTGGCAGTCCCACATATACCTCCTGCCTAGCTACTGGCTGATTAGCTTTTTACTAAAGCAATCACAATGACACATCTTCACAGAGTGTAAAGGAATATTCGACAGCAGTTATACTATCATATTAATTTTGGATTGATTCCAGTGTGCCAAGTCATACTATGTTAAACATCTTAATTGAACATCTTTAATGTATTTAATTTTCATTGCAACTCTGTTAATTGGGGCTACATTTTTATACATATTTGTAAAATAACTGAATAAAGTTGAACTTCAGTGATGTTCAATTTTTTGCTTCAAACCACTGTATTAACACAATAGAGACATAATTGCAAGCCCTGTGAGTTCAGAGATTTGATTAACAATAGCTTTGTGTCTTTAGGAGAGGTGAGCATAGAAAGTACTAGCATAACTAAGATTGTGCTGGACTTCATTTTTTAAAACACTGTCTTCCTAGGTCTGTTGGCTAAATCGTGTACGTCTTTTCCTGGAAAGGCAAGGGTAATTATGAATTGTTTAGACCTAGAGTAATTCCTTTTCTTATATTTCCTGTGGAAATGAGAATTGTCTATGCCTCTTTTCTGTTAACTGAGCAAATATTTTCCTTCTCTTTACTAATGAATGAGGTATAATGTCAGATGAAGGCAACATGTTTTGAAGGCCATATTTAAAAAATTGATAAAATTTGCTCTACATAGGCACACATATACATTATATATGAAGAGAGAGGGGGGAAATTGCATATTCCAAATGTTCCACCTACTTCTGTATTTTTATTTGATTCCGAAAGTTGTTAATAATGTATGGCTTTTTAAAGTTGAAATTCAACTATTTGAAATATTTGCATATATTTTTATCTATATGGAGAATGTCATACAGAAATAGCTAATTCTTAAAGTGTGGCATATCTGAATTTTAAACTTCTTTATTGTCAAATTAGAAACCTAGAATCGAATTGCTATATATTTTCTTAGGTCATCAAAACAAACTTCTTTTATTATACAACTTTAATTTTATCATAATGTTTATGTTACTTGGAAAAGTAAACACTGTGGTGGTTTTAAAACAAGGTAGTTTTTATTAGCTTTCCGTGTGTTTACCTAGCTGTTGAGGCTGTGGCTCTCGCTTTCCCTTGTGCATGTTTTGATTAATGGCCTGCTGGCCTTGTTCCCGAGCACACTGACTATGGTCAGGTCACTTCAGTGATGATTTATTAATTGTGCTTGCAACTCCAGAAGTAAGATTGGTCATATGTATTATTATGCATTTACCAGTAGCATCAGGAATTATAATTTAAAATAAAGTTTGCCTGAGGGATTTTATTTAATTTTTTTTTAATTTTTTTTAGCATTTTAAGTGTTCAGGAAGGACAAAATATTCATTTATTTTAAATTGTATGCAGTATTAACCATAATCTTGTGGCCTTTGAAAGCATGCCTATGAAATTATCAGGAAATTAGTCTTATAAGTAAATGTGCTTTAATTTCTATTTTAATGAAACCTGAAGATAATATACTTCAATAGAGCTTCCAAGAGTATTTTAAAATATATTTTTAATGTTCATAACTCCCTCTGGAAATAACCCCTACTAACACCTCCCATGTTAATGCATAAGTTCACATTGAAAAGCACTGGCAGTTTTGGATGTATTGTAAAATAAATTTAATAAGGATCTGTGCTCCTCCATCTGAATTTCAAGTAAAAGGTCTTATTGTGTATATGTTTCTATCATTTGAACAACTTTTGTACCTATATCTCTAAGCAATACATTAGCTGGAGAAAAACTACTGATTGGCATTGACAAAAAGAAGATGCTGTAGTAGGAATTCAAGAAAAATTTAAATAGAAGGACTATAAATGTGAATTTGATTATGAATGAAGAGAAACTGAGAGATACTTAACATTGTTGTCTCCCTACAACCCAAGACAGATGAAGCATCACCTGCTTTTGAAAGTAATTTGATAGACATAATCTTTCCCAAAGCAAATTATCTTTCTCCGTTTAGAAGTCCACCTAAAAGTGCTCACTCTGGCAGCATATGTACTAAAATAGGAATGATAAAAAAGAAGATTATCATGGCCCCTATATAAGGATGACATGCAAATTCATGAAGCAGTCTATATTTGTACACAAGGAATAAATAATCACAGAAAAATTAACCAAAAGAGGAGAAAGAAACCCACCACAACAAGAAAGTAACAGGAATGAATAAACCCAGTTCAAGAATAACTTTCATTATTAATGATTCCCATTCCAAAGAAAAAGATACAGACTAACAGGTTGGATGGGAAACAGCACCCATTTTTCCAATGCATCAAAACAAAGCAAACCAACAGCAAAACAAAGCCACTCTTCTCCAGCAAGGACGAACATCACCGTAGGTTAAAAGAATGGAGAAAGGCATTCCAAACAAATGGAACCAGGAAGGAACTATTATAATAGCTGACAAATAGACTTCAAACCAAAACTACTCAGAAGAGATAGGGAAGGACAGTACAAACTCATAAAAAAATTAACCAAGAGAATATTCCAATTCTAAACGTGTATACACCTATCAGAAGGTCAACCAATTTTATAAATGTTCCTAAAACAGTGATAGTAGGTGACTTCAATATCCAGCTTTCACTGATAGACAGGTCATCCATATAAAAACTAACCAGAGAAATACTAGAGTTAAAAATTATCATAAATCAAAAACCTCTAATAGACATCTACAGAATATTCCATACCAACACAAATATGTATATTTTTTTTTCTTGGCATCCCATGGAACAGTCTACAAATTTAGCATATTCAGACACAAAACAAGCCTCAGCATATGCAGAAAATTGACCTATCTGACCTCCATGGGTATCAACAATAGAAATGTCAAAAAGTATTGATCTTGGCTACTCTAACTAGTGTGAGATACAAATCACTAAGTAGTTTTAATTTGCATTTCCCTGATAGCTATCAATGAATATTTCTTTAAGTGCTTCTCAGCCATTTATGTTTCCTCTTTTAAGAATTCCCTGCTTAGTTCTGTACCCCATTTTTAATTGGGTGATTTTTGTTCAGGTGATTCTTGGGGGGGTTGTTTGTTTGTTATAGTTTTTTTATATATGTTTTAGATGCCTTCTATCAGGTGTAAAGTTGGTAAAGGTCTTTTCCCATTGAGTAGGTCACCCCTTTGCCAGAATGACTGTGTGCTTTGACATACAGAAGCCTTGTGAGCTTTGTGAGGTTCTGTTATTAATTGTTACTCTTGGTACCTGTTCCATCGGTGTCTTATTCAGCAAGTCCTTTCCTGTGCCAGCCAGGACAAGCCTAGTCCCCATTTTCACTTCTCTCAGATTCAGGGTATCTTGTCTTACATGAATGCCCTTAATCCCATTGGAGTTGTTTTTGTGGAGGGTGATATGCACAGATCTGTTTTCACTCTTCTACATGTAGCTATCCAATTTGACCAGGACTGTTTGTTGAAGATGCTGTCTATTCTCCAATGTGTATCTTTTATTTCTTTGTCAAAAATCAGGTATCCAAAGATTGTAAGAGATGGTGGTGATGGTTGCCTCCAGAGAAACACCACCTTCTAGATAGATCCACATGTGAATGCATGGAGACTGTGGCAGCACATATAAGACCTGCACAATTTAAGCCACACTAAACTCCAGCAGGGATTAGGAGAAGTGGGAACAAAGTCTCGTTGAAGAAGAAGATGGCTTAAAAATTGTCACATCTGCCGGGCGGTGGTGGCGCACGCCTTTAATCCCAGCACTTGGGAGGCAGAGCCAGGCGGATCTCTGTGAGTTCGAGGCCAGCCTGGGCTACCAAGTGAGTTCCAGGAAAAGGCGCAAAGCTACACAGAGAAACCCTGTCTCGAAAAACAAAAACAAAAACAAAAAAAAAAAAAAAATTGTCACATCCAAAAGGAGAACTGAAAGTGGCTTTGACTACATCCTCAAGACTTACGTAAAGTCAATTCTACCAAAATTCCAGCATGGAAGGAGAAGTGCGCATGAGTTGCCACCATTGGCCGAAAGACTGTTGGCAATTGATGGCTACTAATGGAATGAGAGTCAGTTTTCTCCAGGAATATATTCCCAAATGAGCTGTTCATACCAGCTGATGGTTCTAAGCCATGTCCATACAGAAAGTACTAAGTAGACTCGGAGGGTTTAAAACAAAGCACATGAATTTGGGAGGGACAGTGGCAGGGAGATACTCGAGAGCAAAAGGGGTGGATTTTATCAAAACAGTTAGCTATCCAGTACAAAATGATCGGTCCTGAAAACAGGCCCATAAGTAACATACAGACTGAATTACATGTTGTAATTACAAATATATGTATGCATAAGTTCAGATAACATATTTGTATGTAACAGCAATTGATTAACAAAAAGAGACCATGCATTTGAAATAGAGCAATGTTAGATATGTTGGGAGGGTTTAGGGGTTGGAACAGGCAGTGGAAAATGATCTAGTTTTATTACAATCTCTAAAATAAAAGAAATAATTAGAAAGAGATCCAAAAACAGTGAAGAAGAGAGAAGCTACTGAGAGCTGTCAGAACCAATTACAGCAGAATGAAATGAGAATTAGAATGGAATATTAGGAATATTACTAGGAATTTTATCTAAAAGTCATCAGGCAAGTGGAAAGGCCATATGGGAGGGTTTTGCCTACACGTCAGCATACCTGTAAGAAAATATCATCGTGCTTTTGATAATGAACAAGTCAAGGAAAATTTATGTCCTTGACCAAGTAGTTTCGCTTTCCTTGCCTTTTTTTTAACTCTTGTATAAAATGATTGCCTTCCTCAGTTAAAATTATCTGATTAACATCAGCTAGATATAGCAACTTAGAGTATAGATTTCAAAATCCAATTCCCCAGGTCTTAATGTTATCTTTAAGTACAAGTAAGAGTTGAGTATCACACCTGATTTTTTTTCATGTGTAGTGGAGTGTGTCTGTGTGAGGGAGGGTGCTATCTGCATCTTGGGGGCACATGAAGAAGACATCGGGTGTCCTCTTTTATAGCTCTCTGCCTTGGTCTTTATCCCCTTGAGACAGGATCCCTCACTGGATGAACATAGTCTAGCTGCTAGCAAATCGCAGTTATCTTGGCCCCACAGCTTTGGGGTTACAAGTGCATGTGACCACATGGAGCCTTTCAAAGTGTCTTGGGGATTAGAATTCAGGTTCTTATGCGTTAACAGCAAGTTCTCTTACCAACTGAGTCATCTCTCTGGCCCCCACTTCATGTTTTTATAACCAGTGACGATAAATAAGAAGGGAACTCCTGTGGGAATTATAAAGTAAGGCAGGCAATTCCTTAGCATATGTCCTAGAACATAATTGGCACGTGGTATCATTTTTCATTGCGTTTTTATTTTTGAGACTTTTTTAATTACAAAAGTTCTCCCACGCCTTTTTTCCCTTTAGAGGGAAGAAAGTACACTCCCATGTACTCCATCCCTGCTCTCCTTCAAATTCATAGCCTCTATTTTTCCATCAATTGTTATTGCATGCATATATGTATCTGTGTATACATATTTATCCCTAAATATAACCAGTTGAGTCCATACATTTGTATGTATATTTTCAGGGCCGACTGACACTGGCCAACCAGCTGCTGTACACTTCTCTGGGGAAGACCACCTCTCTGGCTTTACCTGTTTTCCTGCAGGTTTTTGTGTAGAATTGAAGCCTCCTGGGTTTTCTCCCATCCAATTTGGCATGTCCGTTGGTGTCATCCTAGTTCAGCTCACATTTGGGCAGTCACGTTGGTGAAGCCCAGCAGATGTAGCTTCTGACATTACTAGGAGACACAATCTCACAGAAAAATCCCCGACCCTCTGGCTCTTACAGTCTTTCAACACCTTCATCCTCAGTGTTCCCTGATTCTCAGATATGGGAATGTTTTGTAGATGAATCCATTTGGACTCAGTTCCACAACTTTGCATATTGATTGGTTGTGGTTTTCCGTAGTGCTCTCTGGTGCAAAGAGATACCTTGATGAGGGCTGAAGACTACACTTATCTGTGAGTGTAAGGACAAATGCTTATACACTATTGTTAGGGATTATGCTGGTTTAGTAAATTAGTGGCTGTAGATTCTCCTCCAGTAACCATGATGTCTCTAGCACTGAGTAGTTTACTAGGTTTCCAGTTCCAGGCATGGTATCCTCTTTGCTGAGTGGGCTTTAAATTCAGTTAGAGAACACTTGGTTATGACCAAGGTATGTGTGTCATTACTGCGCCTGGAAAGTTATCCTGCCGTACAGGTCATTGATGTGATTCATAGGCGTGATATATAGGTACTACTGTTGGTTTCCTCCCTTCTTTGAAATATTGCATGGTGCCTTAAAGATAGTTAACAGGGAGATGACTTTCAGTTCACATCCAGCTCAGAGGCCTCTGTGCTGTGTTTCTGAAGCTTATGGTGTCTTTAGCAGTAGAAACTTGTCTTCCACCTCTAGGGGGTAACCAAGAATAATAGCAATAGGCTATGTGTTTTCGGAGTATCTTAGACAGCCCTGACCAACAGCTCAAAAGAGAGTGTCTCATGCCTGCTCTTGGGATTTTTTGAGTACTCCTTGGCTCTTGGGAGTGCTGTCAGCCCAGAAGAGAAAAGTTCGTCAGAACTTTTATGTGTATGTATATCCTCAACTACAAGCATTATGATTTGGGTGGTAAATATTTCATCATATTATCATTATTATTCTTAGTCTAAGATGCTTTCTACAGATATTTGTCCCTAGTTATGTTACATGATCTTTTAACTCTTTCTACACCCTATTTTATGCCAGTAATATTCAATACCTTTTGCCATTTTATATCATTCTATTATAAATAGTAATATTTTTTATTAATGGAACACTAGGAAGTCCCATATTTGAAATAGGATTCTTTGAAGAAGATAATTTTTCTAATAGAAAATGTATTCAGCAAACATCTGAAAACCTAATGCTCATGAATAAAATAGTGAATTAGTTACTTTTCTTACTGCTGTCACAAAATACAAGGACATAAACAAGGAAAGCGTTTTATTTAGGGTCACAGTCTGAGAGATACAGTCTTTCACAGAGAAGGCATGGTGGGATGAGTATCAGCTGCTCACATTGCTTCCTCAGATGGAAAGCAAAA